AGAAAAATAAAATATTATTTTTTAGATCTAACTTAGAGTACTTCAATAAAATAACAAGTTAGTTATTATATAAAAAATCTCTAATATTGTACTATAGATAGTTAGTTATATAGACTTCTTAATAAAAATTAAGCTATATAATATGGTTACAAGTTAAAAAATAAAAATAAAGTTTATGAAAAATAAAATATATATTATTAATAAAATTTTTTGTAATATTTATAGTTAAGTTAGATTATAATTAATTAATTAATTGAAAACATAAATATATTTTTATTTAAATTAAATAAAACTCTTTCTATTAATTATCTAATCACAAAATTTTGTTCAAAGATAAACAAAAAAAACCTAGGAGCAGTCTATTCAAGACTATGTACATTGAAAATAAATTTTCCATCTTAGAAAATGTCTTAATAAATAATCAAAATCAAAAATCTCTATTATCTATAAATAAAATAAAACTTTACTTATTTATGCAACCAAACTAGCTTCCTATTTTTAAGTATCAATTTTTCAATATTACCTATCATCTTAATTAATCCCAACTATTAATCCTCTTAACTCAGATCTAAATTTAGTTTCTTTTTTTTTTAATGCTAGTTCATCCTTACATCAGGTTGACTGTTTTATTATAATAAAAATAGTATCTAGGGACCACTGGGATAAATAATTATCTGTACTGTTTAAGAATTTACAAATCTCAAAATAGTACAAAGAACTAATTATTTATATCTTATCTAATTAGAATAGAATAATTGTATAACTGTCTAGTATAGATATGTCTCTTTACTATACTAAAATTGTGTAAAAAGTAAAAAACAACATATACTTGTAAACACTATGACACTCTCTAGAACCAGAGTCCACTGAGTAGCTTATCGCTATCCCCTAAAGAAGAACTAATGTACTAAAAATTCAACTGAAGTATCTAGTATCACTAATATTAGAAATTCTTTATATAGAGCCTTAACTCTACTAGTATTAGAAAATTTTTTAAAAAAAGTAGTTGTGCTTGAAAGAGTGTGTCAGTAATAATGAAAGAGTAGAGATATCAAAACCCTTCAAAAAGATACTGTCCCAGGTATCAGTATATCTATTAGAGAGAAAGAGAAAGAAAAAGTCATTATTTGCTATTCAATAAATCCTATTCCAATGATTCTCTTTTTAAGATGTCACTTATATAGGAGATTTGCTTGTCTTGTATCCACTTATACACAAATAAAGTGACTTATGGTAAACCCAGATTCTTAAGAAGCTGAGAAAATGTATTCAGAAATGTGAGATAACCAATGAAAGCTTATTTACTTTTTTTACTAATGTAAGTTCTATCTATTCAATTATAGTATAAGAAACATTGTGCTACTTAAAATTCAGGATCAGACTGAGGTAAGTAAAATTTCATAGAAAAAATCAAGAATGAGCACTATTAGAATATTATAGATAAAAAGAGAATGAGAACATTGTCTCTCATTAATTCAAAAATACTTTGTGTTGTTTTTCTATAGTATATAATAATAATACATTGGTTTTTTTTTCTTTTAGAACTTTTTTGCCCTTGGTAAGAAAGGTGTTGCTTAGTTTTTTAATTACCAGTAGTCAAGTTTTCATTTGAAGAGATGTATTAATAAAAAGAGAGAGAAGTAGTAATGACTCTTTAAGTTTTTTTAAGTTGGTTTAGAGAAAGTATTAAGATTTTATTAATATAGAAATATAAAAACTTCTTGTAAATGTTTTTTTTTGTATGTGATCAGAGAATTTATTTAAATTTAGATCAAAAAATTATTCACATCAAATTTAAAACTAAAAAACAAACCTTACAAGTCTCTTTTTCTTCTCTCAATATTTCAGTTAAAATCCTCCTTTATAATGATCTCACCATTCTCAATAAATTTATGAAATATCAGTCAACTTTTTACTTATCAAAGAATAATAGAACATTTGTAGTTAATAAGTTATTAAAAATACTATGAATTATAAACTTTACTATTCTTGAAACCAAATTTATATTTTTATTAACACCAACTTCAATATTTTCTCTCTTAAAAAAAAGAAAATCTATATTTCTTTCAAATATTCTTGTACTATAAGATAATTATTAGTAGACTATAAAGTTTACAAATCAAGATTCCTCTAATATATTTAATATAGAACTGATAAATCCAGAAGATGATTAATCCTATTCTAATACTAGAATAGGCAATTTTTTTAATAATAACATACACAAAAGCACCAATCAAAATCAATTCTCTTTTGATTATTCCATAGCCACAGATATGAAAATTGTTTTCAACAATAAAAAATCTATATTTACATATAAACTAATAAAACTAAAGTTATATTTGATACTAAAGATATTAAAATTTCAAATTCATCAGGCTATCAACTTTCTATTATTGAAACAATTGCAATTATTAATAAACTACCTCTTTATTGAAATCTCTTATGGAAATATTTATAAAAATCAGGGATCTCTTTTGTAACATTTCTTCAAAGGCTCTATAAGCAGTCTTTATAAAAATCTCTTATAGAGATAGAACATTCTTTCAATTCTTTATCAAATTTGATAAGTGAAAAAAAAATTATTAGAAAGAATATAAAAAATCAATAATAAACTTCATATCAATTACTTTAACAAATATAGTATTGATTATATCAACAGAATATAAAAAAAATCCATATTATTATTAACAAATCTATTTTTTCTACTTACAGTATATCTAAACGTTAGACTTTAATGCTTTTTAAAGTAGTAAGCAACTCAAATTCTGAAATATGGCTTTAATTACTTTATTGATTCCTCTATAAAGAAGATAAACTATAAAGAACTTTTGGCACAATCAGAAGAGCTCATTAATATATATATATATATATATTTTAATACTGGCTCAGCCATGCTTTAGTTGTAATTATGTAGTATCAATATATAGAAGCTATTCTAGGATATACTACCTGTTTACTATCAAATAAAACTCAATATAATTCCTTTATATGAAGATACTTACTTTGTAGCTTGTTGCCACTCCCAAGGTTGTAAGCCAACCTGCCAAGGCTGGGCTAGTGCTGAAAGAAATTTCAAATATGAAGAAGTTATCTATAAAGTTTGTGATCCATTGGTTCATAAACTCATTGATCAAGTGTGTGAATTGGTCTTTTATATATTTTTCTCTAGCTATAAAGATGGGATCTTCTTTTTTTGTCTTATATTTTGCTAATTTTTTTTTTCGTTTGATAATTCTCTCTTTAGCTTTCCACTTCTAAAAGGTTTCGTATCTTATTTGCCAAATTTGATATAGATATTTAATTATTTCAAAATGGATCTCTGCTATACAATTTTTTCTTTCTATCTTATCTGGAATGGCTGTCTTAAGACTATAAGTAAGTTCTTTGAAGAAAGCTTTTCTTATGTTTGCTATTAAGTATTCCTTGAAGTTCAAATTGTTTTTGTTTGAGAACTGGATATTAAAAGCTTGGAGTTTTTTCTCCTTTATATAATTTTTCACATAGATTATAGTTATATCCTTTAGAGCCTTTTCCATTTTTGCTCTGAGTTATTGACAAAGAAAGGGTAAGTATAGATCTCTGATTCTCTATATTTGTTACATTTATTATTTTTGTAGATAAATGAAAGCCTTGTATGTAACTTGCTCTTAGTTGATAGTTCAGCATTCCAAAGGCTAAGACAGAATTTTCTTAGTTTTTAGTCTTCATTGTTTGTATAGTGGTTGCTTATTTTCGTGAGTTGAATGTGTGTCATTGTTATTTTGGCAATTGATTTCTTTGATTATTCATTTCTAAAGTTGTATTTTGTTTGTTCAGAAGTTACTATTTTGTTAGATGAATAGTGTTTGTGAGCTTTTGTACAACTATTTTATAGGAAATTTGATAAAGTGATTGTTCCATTATTGTGCTTGCCTATTTCTGAATCTTTGATTCTATTGACTTCGATTTCATTCTCTCCTAGATTCATGCCTTTCCATGCATCTATCTGCACCAGCTGATCAATCATTTTGTTGTATTTGATTACAGAGTGGCCTTTTATCTTGTATAATAATAGTTTGATTTTTCTTTGCTTGCATAGGGTTTTGATCTGAAGTAGAAGATTTGATTTTTTTTGTTTTTTCATAATCTTGTTTTTGTTTTCCTTCTGAACCTTTTCTATATCATTAATGGCTACTTGACTATTTGTATAAATGTTTGATATACTGTGTTCTGATAATGTGCTTAGAGCTATTACAATTACTACTATCTCTACTCTAATAGATGAAGGATGTCATTTAATCTGTTCTGGAAATGTGTATTTCTTTGAGTCTAGGTAATTATGATTCAGTCCAGGTCCATATAATATTTGCTCTTCGAGTTTGTGATGAATCCATTTATATAGATGTCAAAAATAGCAAAATTCTTTATTTTTTCTTGATTTTCTCTATTTTTTCTATATTTTCCTATGAACTGTTAAAAATTTTGTTTTTTGCTTGCTTTTTATTTGTGCTTTTGATAGTATTGCCATGGGCTAACCTGGCAAGTCCGTCACTAATTCGTAGTATCTTGCATAACCTAGACATCTTATAAATACTCACAAAGAAAAAAATGCTTCCTATAAAGAACATTTAGGGAAGGCAGAGGCATGGTGATTGACTTGGCCAAAGATAAGTATCTCTTTATTGCGTCATATTTCTTTAATATATTACTAACTCTTATCTCTATTCTCAATGAGGACTGTTTTTCCTAATATATTCAGTTCTGCCTTTTTGGCATATATTGGTAAGCTATTTATACTTTTCTAACTAACAATGGGCTATCTACTTTATAATCGACTATACTAATCCTAAGCTTTGCTAAACTTTCCATACTTTTTCAGATATACATAGTTTCTTTATTAGTAATGTGCCTTATCTATAGTTTTTTACTTTGCAACACTCAATCTTTCATGCCAAACTTTTGGGTTTTTAGATTCTAGACCATTACGTGTAAATTGCATCACCCACATGACCCATAACAGTATGCTGACTATATCTTTGTTTTATATGTATGACTCTAATGTTTGGATGTACTCTTTAAAGGTTATAGTAAGAGAATTTGGAGATGTTTTGTTTCTCTATTTATACTCCTTTATATTTCAATTGTTTTCTCTTATAGATGTTAGACTCTCTGAACTAGTATAGTAATTGAGTGTTTTTGAGTTGCTATAAAATTACATTCATCTCTGTTGGTATCTAGAGTGTTTAGTATATAACTTTTGTATGCCTCCAGTGGAGAGCTCCCTGGAGCTTGGATATAGTGTCTGTACCTTGTTGTATTTTGATTTATTTTCTTTTGTTTTTTCTCAATTAAAGGTTCTCTCTTATTTTGTGTATAGATTCAGTGGGATTTTATTATATTGTGATGCATTGTGGAGAACTTTTGTTTGAAAGCATTGGCTGTTGTTTGAAATGTTGGAATTTCCTTCGCTTCTAATATTTTTTTAATTTTGCTACTCAGGATTAAGAATTATTTAGAGGTTGGGCCTAAAAATGTTTCTTTGCAATTCTTATGATTTGATACCATTTTAATATTTTTATGCAATCTGCATTTAAAAGCTGTTCAATGAAGAGTATATTGTATTTGTGTAAATAGTGTCAGTGTTTTGAATAAAAGTATTTGCTTATAATCTCTTCTATAGAAATGTCTATCTTCTGGATCAGTATAATACTATTGTTTGTATTGCTTAAATCAAATGTGAAACCATGTCTTCTCATGAGTCAGATAGTATTATATATTAAACTTTTTTCTATGTATCTCCAAGATTATTTTATTTATTTAAAACAGGTTTGGTAGATCATAATTTATTTTGGAGAGTTTAGAGTCTGCTTCTTGTTATTTTGCCAGCTATGTTGTTTTTATTGATTTGGGTTGTCCAGTTAGTGATGTGTAAGAGGAGTTATCTATCCTAGAGATGTATTAAGTTGTATTTGTGTTTATTTAAGAGAATATTGTTAAGGGCTGTCCTAGCGAGACCTAGCTTATATTTAAAAACTGCTGTGACACTGCTCATGAGAAGGTTGCATGTCTTTTCTGGAAGTATAATATCATTGCACAAGTATTTGGCACTGGATATTAGGACATAATTAATTATGTACTGTATATTCTTGTCCATATGATGTTTCATTTTGATTAGTTCTTTAGTCTTCCTGAGCTTCTGTTGAATTAGCATTTTTTGATAGTTTTTTTTTCCTGAGCTATTATACCAGACTCCCAGGATTCTTACTAGTACTTCTTGTGGACAGCCTTTGATGATTTGGTCCTCCATTACTATCCCTTGTATAAAATCATCATCTTTTCCATTGATGATTAGCAGCTGGGATTTCTGTGAATTGATTTTTATGTCAATTATTTTGTAGAACTTCTCTGCTTTTTTAATGATTTGTTGTAATTCTTCTCTATTGTCTATGATCCATATAGTATTATCTATGTAGATACTGATTGCAATATTTACTTTTTTATTTGTCATCCTAACTTGAAGTCCCTATAGGATTTGGTTAATATTGTATAGTCTATAAAGTTTTTTTCAATTGTTGTGATTAATGGATCATAGAAGATTATCTATAAAAGTGGGAAGATAATGTCTCCTTGATCGATCAATAAAGTGTCCTTAGTGGTTCGATTTCAAATATAATCGTGTTTACTCTGCATTGGTATTTTTTGGGATTTTCTTGGCGAAAGTGATCGGCGTGAAGAATTCTTCACGCAAACGCAATTTTATTAAACTATTGAACATATCCGTATCTTATATAAAACAATGGGAAATCCACAATCCACAATCGATTCATTGAAAGAATTAAATTCTGATCTCGTTCACCAGATTGCTGAACTTAGGAAAGAGAATGCCGATATCAAGGCCGAGAATATAAAATTAAAACAAGATAAGGAAGAGATTGAGATCAGATTTGTGAAATTAGAACAGACCGCAAAAGAAAATGCCGAGAATGTAAAGTTGAGAGATGGAGAGCTCAATGCCAGAATCGTGGAACTAGAACAGTCGGCAAAAGAAAGTGAAAATCGATTTGCGAAATTGGAACAGAAGCAAACCCAGGTTATCACTAATGAACAGGAAGTACCCCCCGCAAAAAATATTTTACCGCCTATCAAAGATCAGTCCGATAAAGATAATGATATTACTCTCGATCCCATGTCCGAACGTAACTCGACCCATACCCAAAGGAGCGAATCTAAATCTATCTGATCCTGAATCATCTATCACTTCTTTGCCACAAGATATTATTGATGACGATTCAGCTGAGACTCTGGATTTTATAGAAAGGAAATATGAAGAACGTGTTAGTGAAGAGATAATGGAGAGAATTAGAGAAAAAAACCTTCGGGATCAAAACTTATCTTCGGATAATAGTTCATCGGATCAATCTAATTTATCGTGTGATATATCGCGAGAACAGAAAAATAACCAATCAAAATCTCAGAATGCATCTTCTGGCTCGCTTCAAAATCCCATCTCACAGAGTAAGGATGACCTTGCGTCTAAATTAGATCAATCAAAGATAAAGTCTCCTTGTCTCGAGCCCAAATTATCTACTGATCAAGAGCAAAATGAAATCCTTGAACTAAGTGATATCCCGTCCCAAATAGCAGAAGCTAGTACATTGGTAAAAATTCCCTATAATCAGAGAGTAGAACAAGGTTTATTACATGAGTTATTTGAATTTATTAGAGTCATTACAAAATCTAAAGAAAACTCCATTGAATTCTATCTTCATTAAATAAATTTCGGACATTCCTGTTGATATAGATCTAACTTCAGGTTCTGTACCTCATTTAGCTCATTTATTTGGCAAGGCCGAGAAAACTGGACGAAAAGAAAAATTGCGATGGTATTATTATAGTGAGGGATATGAAAAAAAAGTTTCGGATCTTAGTTCAGGAAAAAATATCAGTGATCAAATGGCGAGAACGCAAATATATGATGAAATAATGCAGTATCTACCTGGTATCAAGAGAGAGTATTTGCTCAAAATGACCCCAAAAGCTAGAGCTATTTATACATTATTCAAAGGTATAGGAATAGATAAAATTGAGTATATTATATATAGTGCTGATGCTATTTCTAGTTTAACCGGTACACAAATTCAAAATATTATAAATCTTTATACTAAAGAATTAGATGCGAAAGTATTATCGTCTGAATCTCAAAAATTGATCGGCGTGAAGAATTCTTCACGCGCATATGGCCAACCGAAATCTGATATAGAAACTAAAGTATGCGAAGAAATTTTGCCAGAAGCCAAGATAAGTATTACAACCACACCCTCTATTCCATCAATTCATACATCTAATTCGAAAGATATGATAAATGAAGATGTATTACAAGGTAATGTTGTCCCCGTGTCTGTCTGTAGCACTGAAGGCAAATCTTTACCGGAGACTGAGGTAGATATAACTGTCAAATCTCATGTTTATGATAGTTCTTTAGATTTTGACTCGGGTTCCTTAGATGATGAAAATTCTTGTGATAAGGGCGCCGATGATGATTAATTCTACAACGATAAAGAAGATGATGGGTGCTTCTGTGGTTTCTCTGATGACGATGATGAAGGTTATTATTATGATTTAAATACCGGTGAAACTTATACAAAATCGGAGAGTCGAAGACTCGATCCTTTGGATCATCGTTCAATCTGCGCATATTAATGTAATCAAATTTTCAGATGTAATACTATTCCAGGTTATTCAATATCAAAATTTTCGCTCAGTCCGAGATGTGACGAAAATCATACTTCTTTAGGATGTTATACCAGCTGATGATATACTAATCCACAGTTTAGTCGCGGTTGAGTTGCAGTAATTTTTTTCCTATACATCCACTATGTGAATGCAAAGCAATTCTATGAAAAATAGGTATATCGCGGTTGAGACGCGTTAGAGTCTTAGTGATGTTAGAAGGAATACACAAGCATAAAATGGGTCCACGTGATTGTGGAATGAAGTATTGTAAAGCATGACTGATAAGCCAGATCTGTGCGACATTCGATCTCCAAAAAATTTTTTCCAATTCCATCTATTCGTGCCGTGCTATCATGTCTAACGTCTATGGAGCAATCAAAAGCCTCAATTTCACAATAGAGGAAAGAACTGCTCTACGTACCTTCTTCATTAACAAAAAAGCTGAAACGGAACTCATCCTTCCTACCTGTAATGATGAGGATGAGGTAGTTTCTTTATTGAAAGATCTCCTAAAGTCTGGTATGCTCTCTTTTAACCGTGCCATATTCGCCAATAATACCGAATACTAACTTAATCTTATCGTCAAACCCACCCAAAAAACACATTCGCGTTATCGTAGATCAACCCGTTGCTGGTAAGTGAGTCGTAATAAATCTAGTCGATGAAATGAACGCATCTTGGCTTAACTTTTTGACAGCCGTTTCATTTTCGTCTGTACTATGTCACATTGATATTCTAAGCTTGCACCTCTTTTACTCGGTTATTAACCTATGCCTCATATTTATTTCTATGTAGAATTTTTCAATAAGCGTGGGTTTGAAACTAATAAAGATCTGGTGAACTTCTGGAAGGCTTTAAAGGATACAAAAGTTGATGAACAAGAAGAGTTTCTCAAATTACCCCGGGACACCTATTTTATAGATCATTCATTTCAACCCTTTATTCTGTTCATTCGTAAATACTATCATGACTTGGCCAATATCGTCTTTGACGAAAAAATAAGAAAATTGCGCATCTCTGGCAATCCAGGGATTGGTAAAACTTTTTTCGGCTTTTATTTGCTTTATCTGCTTGCACAACAAGACGAACCGATTGTATATAATTATCAGGGTAAAAATTATATGATTTTTGAGAAGGAGAAGGCCTTTTTTATAGAGGACATGTCTGTTATTAAATCGTACTGCGCAGATTAGATGTTTGGTATATTGTAGATGCCACAGAACCAGAACCTGCTTTTGCCAAGACAATTCTTGTCTGTTCCCTCAGGAAGGACCACTATAGGAACTTTGATAAATGTATCGGAACAACAATACGGTACATGCCGGTGTGGGAGTGGGAAGAGATCAATGCATGTAGGGTTATGATCTACAGTCATCTTGATAAATCTAAGGTTAGGCAGTTGTTTCTTAAATGGGGAGGGATCCCTCGGTTCGTCTTGGATAAGGCCAGTGACCCAATTCAGCAAAATATGCTCGAAGATGCAATTGCCGGATGCGATGAAAAGATATTTAATTATATTGGTGAAAGCGATAGCAAAGATTTAATAAGTCACAAACTTGTTCATATCTACACGAACCCCCTAATTGGTGAAGAGGAAAATGATGAAAGTGATGTAGAGGTCGAGGGTGGTGAAGAGGTCGAATACGTTAATGAGGAACCCTATACGCTGAAAACTATAGTATTTGCGTCTGATTACGTGGGTGAAAAGGTGACGGAGAGACTTTAAACATCAATATTAGACAGATTACATACAGAACTTGAACCAAGCTTAACAGAAGGTATAAGTAATACATGTTTAGGTAGTTGCTTCGAACAAATTGCTCACAGGATATTGCGAAATGGAGGAACTTTCAAACGTCGTTCTTTAGAGCCAAAAGACTCTAGAAGAAATTTAACTCAACATGCGAGAGAACAGAACGAGATACTTACGTTTTCTGCAATTCAAGCGATCGAAGATGGAAAGTACTATCGACCTGATAAAAAATTTTTTCCGTCAATTGATGCGATTATTGCTCCCAATATACTCTTCCAGATGACTACTGCTAAGAACCATCCGATTAAGATGATTGGTTTGAAAAAACTTTATGATAAATTAACGAGGACGGGTGAAATATCCTTTTATTTTGTCGTGCCGGCAGAGTTATACGACGATTATCAAAAGCAGAAATTTATTACCACCGATAATACTAGTGCTCGGAAAATGCCAAGTTGGATTAGAGATCGCGTCAAGCAATACGCTCTGAAAATTGATTTGAGTTCTGAAGATTTATCTAGAAGTTCACTAAAGAGAAGAAGTAGTTTATTGGGAGGAGCTAGTTCATCAAAGAGAGTGAAAAAATAGTTGATGTTGCTATTTGCTATTGCTATTTTCTACTTGAAAAAAAAATCATGTTGGTTTTATTTGGCGAAATAAAGATTGTATATGGTAAAGTATTTCGGTTGCAACTTCTAGGCATACAATTGTGTAATGGTCCCTTACTAAGGGGTGTAAAATCAATTCTTCTTCGATGTGGCAGAGACAAAGAACTATCATTATAACCAAAAATGTATTTTTTGGATCATTATAGAAACACATATAGTGAAGACGCATCTAATGCAAAAGTTAATGATAAAATCAGGGACCAGATTTCTGCGCAGGATAAACTTACCGAAACAAACCTTCGAAAGAGAAAGGAACGGGCTAAAAGATCTTCAGACTTTTTAATTGTATTGGTGGAAAGGCCGGATTAAAACTTTTAACGCTACAACGATTTTAAATCTAGACGTTGATTATGTAATTAGCAAAATTTTGGAAATGACCCTCACATAGCTTTACCTGTCAATTTTCTTCGAGTATAAATAATAAAGTCATATCGATAAATCGTACTCAAATTTTCCGTATAATTTATACGATTG